CAACAAAAAAAATTGTGAACCAATCATAGAAATAGGAAAGTATAGTCAATACATGGATGACTGGGGAAGGAAGGTGTAGTTGATGGAAAATACTTCTGAGGTGGCCCAGGTATTGGACAGATACTTTAAACCAACTGTTACAGATATGACCAAATAATTAAAGGGAACCTTTTCTGAAAAATTGAAAGTATGAGGATGGTGTCTCACAAAATAGAAAATATAAAAAATGATATAGAAGTTAAGAAAATTAAGAACCAAGTAGAATTCTGTAGTCAAAAGTTAAAGTGAATGAAATGAAAAATTTGCTGGAGGAATTCAGCAGAATAAAGCATCAGCATACTTGAAGATAGGTTACTTATAATTATCCTTGYCTAAGGAATGAAACAAATAAAAAAAAAGAGTGTAACAAACTTGTGAGATACCATTAAGTGAACAAACAAACACATACTGGAAGTACTTGAGGAAAGGAAACAGAAGGATAAGGACAGAAAGACTATTTCAAAGATTTGACCTCAAAAATCTCCCAATTTGATGGAAAATTATTTATTTGTATATCCAGAGAATTTAGAGTACTTTAAAAGTGGTAAACTCAAAATAAACTCACACCTACATACAGTATAGTCAAAACATGAATCAGAAGACATTTTTGTTGTTGTTTCTTAGAACAGTAATTGAGAAGATATAATTATCTATTTTAAGTTTATATTTCAGTAATAACATTAAATTCCTAAAGTTGTATTTTTTCATACTTTTAATAAAGGAAGCAAGCAAACCTTTATATAAATATCACAACTAATTACTCAATGCACTGCAGTCTTTTTGTGTGTATAGAAAATGAACTTTAATAATAATTTAAAATCTTTCAATGTACTTATTTCTTATTTTTTTCTTTGGAGTCAAAGTTAAATTTTATATAAATTAATTTTGCATTTAAGGATTAATGTAAATAAAATGTAAATGTAATTATATACATGCACTTTTTATTTTATTTTAAATTCTTGTGATTTAATTTTAATATTACCACTTGAGCAAATACTTAATATAATTTTAATGTTGTGCTAACAAGCAGCTGTATGTTTCTTTTCATGTTATTCCTCATTTAGAGAGTTTAGAAAATAGCAAATTTAATACTTTAATATGGAAAACATATTAAAACACTTTATAAATCACTGTAGAACAGAAAGTTTGGATGAAAGAATGTGATAAATGAGGTCAGCATGTAAACATCATAGCAGTTGCTGAACTTAACCCCATATTTTTTTCCAAAATGTATTAGATGAATTCATTAGAATCAAAGAAATACAATAAGAAAAAGAGGCATCTGGCATCCAACTGCTTGTTTCTGACAAGGTTAAGATCACTCAGGCTGGTAATGTTTCTATTTGTGTACCGATATGGCCTATTGCTATAAAAATCAATGAGAATTATTGAAAACTTACAAGCCCGCTGTCATTAATATGACCTGCACAGGTTTATTTATTCCTTCTCTGTTGCCCATGCCAAATTTTCTATGAAAGTCACTTGTTTAGTGTACTTTAGTGTCACAGGGATTCATTCTGGAAAAGTAAGTTATCTAAGCTGTGCTAAAGTTTATGGGTATCAGGTGAGAGCATGCACTGTAAATGCTGTTAATGCATGATGAGAAATTAAGGTAGGTTTCTTGACTGTTTATCTTTTTGTTTGTAGTTGCTATTATAACAAAACTTTTATTTTTATTTCTATGGAACAAATCACAAGGTGTGCTTTATAAAACATTTATTTGATACAATCATTSAAATATAAAATTACTTCTTACTTTTTTAAATTATTCAGTTTTAGTAAAAATAAAATTAAGGTTTTCATGGTACTGTATGAATATTCAGATGAAGTATTTGAAAATATTCTAATATTAAATATTAACCCATTAAGTTCCAAGTTTTTAATTTTGTGAATATTTCAGCAAAATTAATGTAGGTGTAAAGTTACCATAAATGGTATATTTGTTGTTCAAGGTTAAAGTTTTTATTGGTGTTCTCTATGTAGGATGATGGTAAATTTAACAAACTTTCAATTGTGTTTATAGTTGAGATATCAATGTTTATATTGCAGTTTCAAATATCTCATTAGTACGTTATATATTTTAATGCTTTTTGACAGTCAATTAATTTAGAGATAAGCAAAAATTTGTGTAGWGGGTGACCAAAACTTTGGATATGATAGCTTGTGGACACCAAATMAAGGATTCTATTTACTTAAAGATTTTACTAGTGAAATATTCATATTTCATTCTAATGCAACTTGAAAAGTTTTTGTGTAACTCTTAATATAAAACACAACATAAATAAAAATATTTAGACATCATGTTAATGTAAAGCCAAAACTCTATAAACCAAATCTACAAATCAGCTAAATTCAGACTAAGAGCTAGACAAGACTATATATGCTATACCTTTTAATAATTAAACACTATAAGAAAGGTTAGCCTATGCTAGAACCATGATACTATATTTTTTGTTATTTTTTCTTTTAGAGTTGTTATATCTCTCACTTCCATTCTCTGTCCTTGTGTCATTGAAAAGGTCACCATTGATGTGCAGCTCTTTCTTGACGTTTCTCCACAATTTTTTTTTCAAAACAAGTGCATTATATGTGTGTAAAGGTGTGTCAAAATAAATTCAGGTAATTCTAGTAGTGGAACAGAACACCTCAGACATCTATATTCTCAGGTTATTTCATCAACTTCCAAAGTTTCTATTTTTACCTTAGTTTGATTCTAAAATGTATGGTTATTTTTCTCTTGGCTTACAGATACACACACACACACACACACACACACACATATATATACATATCTCAGTTTCTACAGACTTCACTGATACAAATATAATTAATTTTTTCTCCTGAACATTCCTCCTATTTATCCTCTTTTCTCAGTGGCATATTACCCTTTTCTCTTGAGTTATATTTATTATTTTTACCTCTTACCTGTTTTCTCTAGTACTTTTCCAAGTGTTGTTGAAATTGCCTTTAACACTTTATTGCAGTGATTTTAATTTTTAATCTTGGAAACAATAAAGAGTACATCTACTCTGTTCTTCACATTGATCWTTCAGTATTTGAATATTATTACTGTATTTCCCAGATTAATTTTTTTTCTTTCCATTGACCAAATTAACAAGCAAACCAAACTAAAAGCTATTTAATAAATATAAGAAAAGCTGCAACATAGCATTTTATTATGAAAGATGTATTTTTTAATCAATTGAAATGAGTATTGGGCATTTGGTAGATTAAATAAAATGAAGAGTTTGTTTTATCTTATATCAAACAAACTATATCACTCAGATCAATAGAACAGGACAATAGAACAGGAGAATAAAATTCTTCTGGCTTTTGAAACTTGGCAAATTTATTCTGAAATTCATCTGGAAAAAGTAATAAATTTACATATTCAGTAAATTTAAATGTTATGCTATTAATATACATTCAAAAGATTAACAAAATTGTCTAAGTGACAGGGCCAAAGATTTTTGTTACTAGGAAATCCCAGCACATTATTTTCAGTCCCTTAATATGTGGGTACAAAACCTTCAACATGTTTTTATGCCTCCCAACAATGAAGAGATCTTATAAATTAGTCTGCCTTTCTTATTTAACAAAGGATATACTTGAATACTAGGAAATACAAATAGTTAACATATAATGATTATCTACACTATGTAGGAAATGCAAATAATTTATATATTTTCTCTTAACAATATCCTTATTTTGTTTTTCAAAATGACTGCTTTAAAGACTGCTATATTTACATATATTCATATTTTTTATATTGTTGATGTATTAATTAATTTATTTGCATGTGGTGTTGAGAATCCAACCCAAACCCTCACATATGCTAGGCAAGTGCTCTACCGCGAGAGCCCAGATTATATAATTTTTTTAGTGAGACAGAGAGAGAGAATTTTTTAATATATATATATATATTTTTTTTTTTTAGTTTTTGGCGGACACAACATCTTTATTTGTATTTGGTGCTGAGGATCGAACCCAGCGCCGCGCGCATGCTAGGCTTGAGCGCATGCCAGGCATACTGCTTGAGCCACATTCCCAGCCCCAGATTAWATAATTTTTAAGGTAGATTTTGCTAACATTTTGTTATGTGAAGAACTTCATCATATTAACTTTTATATAATTAGATTTGATAGGAATTTGACCCTTTTTTAACTTTGGTTGTTTGTTCTTGTGTGTGAGGTGCTGAGGATCGAGCCCAGTGCCTCCACTGTGGTAGGCAAGCTCTCTACCACTGAGCTATAGCCCCAGTCCCAGCCCTAGAATTTGACATTTTTGATATATTTTTCATCGATTTTAATTAGGAACATGTGCATTTCATATCTATATAGACATATACATATGTTTCCTATTCATTTTTTGCAAATTGAAGTTTATATTTATTCACAAAGAAGATGATCATAAAGGCACATACAGACTACATTCTTGAACATTTATTCTATAATTTAGTTTTGAACTAATTCACATTTTACACATTTTTAAGAATTTTATGTATTATATGTAATTTTAAAATAATATGTTTAACTAGTTTAAATATTTTAGACATTTTGTTATTGGTTATTGAAGTACCAGAGCAGGTATAAAATTACTTCATATTTTTAAAAGTTATATATAATTGATACCTGACAATGAAAAATTAAAGGGGAAATTCATATAATAATTATTAATGAGATGCTTCTGCAAATTATAAGAACAGTTTCCTGATGCTGTTAAAGGCATTAGTTTTGAAATTGTAGATGATTTTTGAAAGAAACAGGATCGTTTTGATGTTTGCTGAGCAAAAAAAAAAAGTGTATATGAATGATGTAACAGAGTTGTTATTATGCACAATCATGATTGTGCAAATTTTTGTTTCTCACATTTTATTTTTTTTATTCCACTGCAAGAACATTTTATTAATAACACAAAGTTTTTATTAATGAAAATTATAAAATTAAATTCTTTCATTACAGAAACACCTGCTGCATTTCCAGACACTATAAAGGAAAAAGAGACACCAACGCCTGGTGAAGATATTCAGCTAGAAAGTTCAATTCCTCATACAGATTCAGGAATTGGAGAGGAGCAAGTGACTAGCATCCTGAATGGGGCGGAATTAGAGACTACTACAGGCCCAGATGCCATGAGTGAACTCTTATCCACTTTGTCATCAGAGGTGAAGAAATCACAAGAGAGCTTAACTGAAAATCCCAATGAAATGTTGAAGCCTGCACCATCCATATCTAGCATTAGTCAGACCAAAGGGATCAATGTCAAGGAAATTTTGAAAAGTCTTGTGGCTGCCCCTGTTGAAATTGCAGAATGTGGCCCTGAACCTATCCCATACCCAGACCCAGCATTAAAGAGAGAAGCGCAAACAATTCTTCCTATGCAGTTTCATTCCTTTGACAGGTAGGTATTGGATTTCTTTTTCACAGTGCTCTATATGTAGAAGGAAAATTAGACTCTATTAATTGAATTTTATGTAGAAGGGCCTCAAAAACTGTATTAATGTAGATTCCCATTAAAAAGAATATCAAAGAGATAGACCAAGCTGATGCATCTCATAGGACATTTTAATGGATTCAGAAAAAGATTTTCAAAATGATGTGGTAAATATTACATTGAATCTGAAATAGAAAACTCCATATTTTGGTTACAATCCATCATCAAGGGACCCTGGCGCAATGGAGAAGTCATTTTTCTCTTTGGACTTGTTTTATGTATAAAGTGGAACAGAGAATAGGCAAAATATCTCTAAGACATAGTATGTAAATCTAAATGACATTAATTTCCATTATAGTATTATAACATTCTATAATAATTCTTGGATATTAATAGCTTGCTCTAAGTATAAAATTCAAATTCAAATTTTAATTGGAATTATGTTAAAAAAGTAAAAATCATTTGAAATAGTCTTCCGTATAGGATTTTTAGTATCAGCAAAAAAGCCATATCTTGTGGCATATATTTGACAAATAATATTCTTGAAAGGCATATGAATAAAAATAACTTTTTTATTTTTAAAAACTTTTCAAATATGAATAAAATAACTTTATTTTCAATGAACTTACAGGAAATAGAATGTTTGCAAATAATTGTCATTGACCAGACAAAATGTGTTCTGTAAAAATTTTTAAAATGTGAAAAATGGTGAGACTATAAAATATCAGCAAATAGTTCCTCTTATTTTTAGTTTTTTTGTATTAATATTATATTCATATGTTCATTCATATAGTGAATGTTCCTTAGTCCATTTCACATTGATGTCCCCTATTTCACATATGTGGTTTATGTTTCCAGGATCTATTTGTGTGTCTTGTTTCTGAGTTTGTTTAAGTATATGTCTTTAAGTGTATGTACTTGTGAATATCTGTAAGTCTATATCTAGAAATAAAAGTTTCAATAATTTAATATAGGGTTATTAATTTTTGTGTCCCCTCTTAATWTACTTAAAATTTTTTTAAAATGCAAACTGATAAATACAAAGAATTATTGTGATTTATATAAGAGAATTCAGTGGAATAAAGGCTAAGTAAAATATTTTTGTTTTACTTTGGATTATTATTAAGAATTTTTTTTATGTAAAACTTAATCACCTGAGTGCTAATGTTCTTAGCTACTCAAAATTTATTATACTTTTGAGAATATTGCTTTAAAAAAATAAACCTCTCCATTTGTTCATGGTAGCATTTGTGCAAAGTGCAATGGGAATGGAATCATTATTCTAAATTGCATAAGTAGAAATGAAATTGAAGAGCACAAAGCATATTTCAATTCTTTTTAGGAAAAGAGTCTCCAGTGTAGTTAATATATGCAGTAGCTCAAGTACTATCAAATGTAAATGATGAGGTGATATTGATGAAAGGAGGGGATTGAGGTCTCAGGGGGCACTGATGACGGATTGAACAGAAGCGGCCTTGCACTGCACGTAACTCAAGTCTGTCGTCTTCACTGCTCAAAGCCATAATGGGAGGTGGCAGTCTGAAATGAGTTGCCACGGCAAAGAGTATTATTTTTGAAATGCTTTCACACAAATCACTAGGCCCTGCATACAACTTAGTTTCATGCTTTAATGTCATCAGGAGGCACAAATTGGTGTGTCTAATTGTTTGCCACCTGCCAGCAAAATGAGCTGCCAGCCAGCCAGACGGGTTTGATTGTCTGTCAGCCATTCAATAGATTGAGAGTGACAACATCAAAAATTTAACTTCAAACTCTGAAGCTTTGAGCAGCTTTTCAGAGACATCATCCCACAAGTGCTTCTGGACCACTGCATTTTTCAATTATATTTCCCATGTATTTCTGCCATTTGCCTTTTCTGTCTTAAGATAGCCATAATTACTTTATGAGGAATATAAACATATTTCTGAAGCACTAAAGTCTGAAATCCAAGTTATGACATGTCTTTTAACATCAGATTGAATTCCTTGAAAAATAGGAACCAATATAACAGGTTTTAGAAAGAAAGTCCAGATTGCTACCTGTTTTAAACACAATTATCATGGGTCTTACCCTACCAGTGACGCATTTTTCATTTTTATCCTTAGCTTAAAAATAGATATACATTCAGTTGGTTGATTTTTTTTGTGACTAAGTCATGTTTCCTAATAATATGTTATCCCAGTAGGAATCATCTGTGGTTTTACTTTTGTTGACCAATTATTTATTAGTTGTATAGCAGATGATAAAAATGTATGTATTGTACTTATTATGGACTGTAAGTTTGGAAATAAGTTCTTAAACAAACTGATGTAATTTGAATTCTGTTAACTTACATTCTACATGGGTGCTTCTCCTCATTCAGGATGAAACATTAATTAATTTCAGTGTTTTGAATTTTTTTTTTTTAGTAAGCAAATTGCAACATCAAATTTTGAAACATTTATACTTAATAAACTTTTTTCTTTTAGGATTAGACATTTCATCCAATTACATGTGAAAGATTATGTAAATGTTCTCATTTACATATGTAGGAAGTAATGATTCCTTTTATTTTCTCTAATCATTTGTGTTATATGCCTTTGATGACAGTAAGTGTATATATTTATGAAGTGTAACAAGTATATATGAAATGTAAAATGCTAGAGATCCTCTAGTATTCTTCTGTAGTGAGGAAGAATAATATATAGAGAGAAATGCAGTTTTGAACAGTATTTCCAAATTTCTTTTACTGTGTGGCAAAGAAAAAATTCAAAAGTTTTGTTTCTACTAGGAAAGCTTAATAATGTCATTTTATTATTTACATAGCAAATTACAGAGTTCTCCTAAAAATATGAGTAGGGTAGATATTTTCTTTATGGTTGTATTGATTTTTAACATTGATTTTAGGACAACGAATGAAAATTCAGGGAAAATAATAAAGAAATGTGTAGTAGAGTTGAAAAGCTCTTATTACATTGATTTATTTAACCTTCGAATTTTGTAAGTGTAATTCTGAGGACTTTACTTTCTGTTCATATCGTTTTCTATTTTTTGAAAAAAGTATTTGATTATATTACTTAAAAGATGAAGTAGTTAATGTAAGTCAAATTGGTTATAAATCTGTCAAATTTTACAATTCAAATTTTCAATTTCTATTTACTGTAATTAATCTCTGTTTTTATTTTATTGAGTGTCCTGGGTGTGTATTGGAAGGCCGGTTGCCAGGAGATGCAATTTTGTCTGAGCATGGCTGTATCCTGATTTCCCCAATGTTGTCTTTGTCTTTCCTGGCATTAACATAAAACAGTTCAATGAGCTGTATAAAAATCTCTTTTTAAGTAGGTGCTTTAATAAAATACTCAATTATTTCTTAAATATCCTTTTCCTGTTGGTATTCTAAAATATTTTGGAAAGTAGATAAGCATACTAGATGAAAACATCAGAGCAATAAAAGCATCAGACCCCCAAATTACCTACATTATAAAATCCTACAATAAATGAAATAGCCTTATAGTTTTTTTAATAAYGATTATTTTTTAGTTTGATTAAAAGACTATAATCTCAGAAAAAGGTATTATATCTCCATTCCAAAAGCTTTCACTTCACCTTAGGTGTTGAGCACCTCTCAGGTGGATTCCTTCTGTCTTGAAACTCTTGTCTATCTCCAGGTGTCCTACATTCATCCCAAATTGATCTTCTTTGTCTATGCTGACATTTTCTTAGATATAATACCAATAAAGATTTTGAAATAATGTTTTATTATTTACATAATAGAGGAAGAACATAGTAGTTTGGAACAGAAAGTCTCCACCTTCCCCTAGTCATAAGGATTTATGTGTAGCTCCTTCAACCTGTTATGTTGTTTTGAATCTCTTTGCCTAAGATTTACCATGAGACTTTTTTACACATTTTTCTTCACTTGGCAATTCCTAGCAATCTTTTTTTTTGATTCAGGTCATTGTTCCTTGATAATACACATCCTCTGTTCCTGAAAATTATGGGCATAACTTGAATCTGGCAATTTTTAAAATATAGTACACATTTGCTTTGTTCGTATATTCCATTCTGGTATTGCCCAGGTGTGGCCATATCTTATTTTTCTTTGAATTTCCTAAACTTGTTAGTATAATTGTATCACTTAATCTGTTGGTTCTGAATAAGTTTTACAGAAAAGAGGTATAGTACAGAAATAAGACAGGGATTATTATATGAARTTAATTTTCCTTAATGAGTCCCTAGTTTAGAAGCCCTTTCTTCTGTATTTCGTTTTATACTTACGACAAACTATGAAGACACAGATAAAGTAGTATTCATGCTTTTACAAAATTTACAGAAGTTTTTAATGGACCCCTCCTCATCCAAGACTCTTTAGTCCACTTCTGTATATTTCTTAGGCAATCTTATCTGCTTCCCAGCATTAAATAGTATTCTACATGCTGATTGTTTCCATAATTATATCTCATTCTAAACTTCTAAACTAGAGACTTGTCTATCTCTTATTCATAATCATTATTTGAAGATTAATAACTTAATAAGTATTGTGCTCCAACCATAGTCTTTTCTATCTTAATGGCAATTAACACTTTAACCCTTCTAGGTCCTTAATAAAAAGATTTTTTTTTGTTTTTTGCATTGTCTTGGACTTATTTCATATGCACATCCTGTCCTGCAAATCCTGTTGTGTTGGCTTAATATAGCCAAAATTTTTTTTTTAAATATTTCTTTATTTTTTAGTTATTGGCGGACACAACATCTTTGTTTGTATGTGGTGCTGAGGATCGAACCCGGGCCGCACGCATGCCAGGCGAGCGCGCTATCGCTTGAGCCACATCCCCAGCCCCAATATAGCCAAAATTTGATGCACTTTTCACCAGTTTCCATTTGTCATTCTGATCCCACAGACTTCTCTTCCTTAAATTATTATTATTTTTTTAAAGCCAAGATGTCTTAATTTTTTTTTTTTTTGTATAATACGTGGTAGTCTTTGC